ACATTGGGGAGTTTCTCCCTTTAGGAAGGTGGTCTCCACGTTGCCCCCCCCTTTTTTCGAGACTTTTTCTTGTTGCCCAGGCAAGAGAAGTTCCGCCGCCTCTGCTGACGGTGTCCTCGTGGACCGCCAGGTTGGGCGCGGGTGGGACGGCGGGGTAGCGGAGGAGGCGGAGGGGTGGGAGAGGCCATCGCTGTCGCAACGGCTCGCGAGAGGCGTGCCGGTGCTGGGCGCCACGGGGTAGGTTATCTTGTCGCTCGTGTGTGTGTGTGTAATCGTATTGATTGCCCCGCAAGAAGACAGGCAGTGTACCGCTTTCACCCAACCCTGCTGCTCTGGCTGCTGCTGCTGCTGCGATGGAGTGTTCTCGGGGTCACGTGCGTGTCTGGGGGGGTATAAGATGCACCCGCCATCATGCCGAACTCTGTCCCCGTGTCATGTACTTGTATTTCGCCCTCCCTGCCTGCGTGCTTGTCGCTCACGTCCTCTGCTCGGATTCTTTGGTCACCCCTGTCTCTGTACGCTCCTCCCCCTGCGGAACTCCTCACTACCCACCGCTTGCAGGCTGTGGCAGCTGCTGAGTAGGCTCGACGGCCCCCCGTCTCTGCTCGACCCTCTCGCCGCCGTCCTGTCGTGGTTCTTTCTGGAGCTGATGATGGCTTCCGTCCCGAGCGGGGTGTGGAACAAGTGGGACATGGGAAACCCCGAGAGGGCTGCTGCTGCTGCTGCTGCTGCTGCGGCGGCGGCGGCGGCGGCAGCGACGCCGGAAACGCCACCGCCACCGCCGCGGCTGATGCTGGGCTCTTCGCGAGAAGACAAAAAGGGGGAGAGCAAAGAGAGAGCGGAGCCTACGACGGGCGCGGCGACATCTCCGCTCCAGTGGAATGCCACGGTACAAGTAGGGGGGCCGGCGGCGGGGGGGACAACGCCCGGCAACGGCGCGACCTCGCACCACTTGGGCGGTGGCAGTGCGGCGGTGTCGTTCGAGGAGGTGGCTCCGGTCACGCCGCACTCGACCGCGGTGTCGGAGCCCGGCCCACGCAAGTTCGTGAGGCGAAAGCGGACCGCGCATGTTGCGCCCACAAGGCGAGGAGCGGCGGCGGCGGCGGCAAGCACGGCTAGCGTTCCTGCTGCTTCCGCGGCCGCGGAGGGGCGAGACGGTGGGGCGGCGGCAGCGGCGATGGCGGAGGTGGCGGCGGGCGGCGGCAATGATGGGCATAGATCTCAGCAGCGGCAGCAGGGGCAGCAGCAGCGGCCGGCTGCGGATGGAGGTGCTGCTGCTCCGGCAGGAAGCCTGGGCGCGGCAGCGGCGGCGGCGGCGGCGAATACGCCGAATACGCGCAAGACCGGCAACAGCGTTGGGGGCAGCAACGCCGCCGAAGGCGCGACGACGACTCGGCTGCAACGGGGGACTCAGAGACCCGTTCCAAGCGCCGCCGCTGCTGCCGCTGCACCTGCTACTGCTACTGCTACTGCCTCCTGCACATCCCCGCCCCCCGGGGGAGTCCCCGCGCGCAGCGTCAAGCGCCGGCCCAGAACTCTCATCGGAGCTGGCGCCAGCGGTGACGCCGGCGGTACTCCCGCCGGCGGTACTCCCGCCGAGTCTGCTGGCGGGGGTAGCCGGCCGAGCCTGCCGTTCTCAGGCCGCCCGGTCAAAGGTTTAACCGGGGCTTACACGACTCCCCCACACCGCCCGCCGCCGCCTCCATCGCCGTCTTCTTCGCTTGCTGCGAGCGCCGGCAGTGGCCGGCTCTCTGGGACCGGAAGCAGCGGGGTGGCCTCGGCCAGCCCTAGCGGCGGTGGCCCCAGCCCCCGAAGCCGGCAGTCCCCCGGTTCCGGGCTGAAGGTTTTGAGCATCAACACCAACACACCCGGCGCAAGGCTGTCCACTCTGGACGGATTTCGAGCGGCGGCCGAAGCCGTAGCCGCCGGTGCGGACGACGCCGTTCGCGGTAGCGGGCACAAGAGGGTGATGTCGGCGGATGGAGGTGGCGGCAGCGGCGGCGGCGGCGGCCATGGAGGCGTCCATCAAGTCGGCGGCGGTGGTCAAGACGTTCAAGGCGGCTTAGGCAGCGGCGGCGGCGGCCGTGGCAGCGTGAGCGGCACGGCGAAGAAGCCCAAGCGGAGGCACCCGGGGAGGTGGTCCCCGTCCAACGGCGGCTCCCCGGCCGGAGAGTCGCCGTCCGCGAAACGGGCGATGATCATGAACGCGAGGAAGGGGGGGGCGTCGTCGTCGTCGGGGGCGGGGTCCCAGGGCAACCGCGCGGCGGGCGGCCCGCTCTTTGACGGTACCGGTAGCGGGAGTGAGAGCAGCTGTAGGTTCGGCGGCTTCAGCTTGTCGGCCGACGCAAAGCAGCAGCAGCAACACCACCACCCACGGCAACAAGCCCAGCAGCAGCACCGGCCGCAGCAGCAGCAACGAGACACGCAAGAGGGGGCGCCGCAGCAGCGACGGCAGCAACGGACTTCCAATGGTGGCGGTGGCGGTTCCCCGAGGACGACCTCGGCCGCCACCGGCCCAAGGACGGACAAGACGATGCCTACGAAGGCGGCCACACTGGCGGCGGCGGCGGCGACACCGGCGACAGCGATTCGTGACGCTAAGCCCTCCCCTCGGGTGAGCCCCTCCTCCTCCTCGGCCACGGTGTCGACATCGTCGGCCAAAACGGCACCGATCGCGCCGCCGGCAGCGGTGACAGCGGCAGCGGCGGCGGCACCGCCGCCGGCGGTGGCGGCGAGACCCGATGGAAAGGAGAACACCCTCGACGGGGTGGACACGAAGAAGGCCGGAGCGGGGAGGGAGCCGCGCAACCCCGGGGTGGGCGGTGGCAAGCCCCGCTCAGGAACAAGGGCAGGAACAGAGACTGCCGCCGCAGCACCAGCACCAGCAGCGCCGGAGGCGACGGCGGCAACGCCAACATGGTGGGACCGAGGGACTTTGCTGTCCCTCGAGTCTGCCGGTGGCGGTGAAGGCGGCGGCGGGGGCGGGGGGGAGGAGAGGGGAACGCCGGTGCCGCCGGGCTTGAGGCCGCCCGGCCGCGAGCTGGACGTGCTGTGCGAGTGGAGCCTGGACCAGCTGAGAGTGGACGACGAGGTCGGGATGTTTTCTCGAGGCGCCTTTGGTAAGCGTTGGGTGCGGGGGAGAGGTTTTTGCTTGTTGGTTTCTTTTTTTTTTCGCCACCATTTTTTTGTATCTGTTCTCGTGGCCGCAGCGTTTGGTTGTTGGCTTACTGTCTATTGTCTCTGCGGTCCGTGTACCCGAAATTACTCGATCGACAATGACGTCATCACGATAGCGTGGAATGAATGGGTTGCCTTCATCAACTCTCACCTCAAGCGTCCGAGGGGTGTTTTGCTCGGAGTCTGCGTCGTGACCCCTCGGGGCTTGAATCACGGCATCGATCATTGATTATGTTCCTTGTGTGTGCGTCTTTATAGTCATGTATTTGTAGGCGGCTAGAAAATCGATGGTGTGATTGGCTGGCACAATTGTGAGTCGTTTTTTTTTTTTTTCCTTTTTTCGACGGGTGGTTCGATTCGCGGTCCCTTGGGGGTCAACCAATCACAGCAAACGTCGCTGTGACGTTTTTGCTGACGGCCTTTTTTTTGTGGCTTCGCGCGCGCGTCGCGTGGTTTTTGTGGTGGCTTCCACAGGCAAGGTGGTGGCAGCACGGACGAGGATGGACCAGCAGGTCGCTGTCAAGATCGTTGCCAAGTCTGGGCTGTCCCCTGTGAGTGTGACGTGTGTGATGCATGAGCATCGGCCGCGCTAAGTGTGTGTGTGTGTGTTTACTTTGTTGGCATCGACCTTGCCGACGGGCTGACCAATGAACAGACGTCAGTCTTGCAGCGGGATAGTAAACCGCGAAATTGTTTTCTATTCAGCGGGCTCACCCGGCACTGTCTGTGGTTGTGTGTGTGTGTGTGGAGGGAGGATGGGGAGACTACGCATTATGTAGCGTGTCGATAGATGAAGAACTTGGACGCATTTTTGTATTTTCCGAAACGTTTCTCGCATGCTCTCCGTCATTCCCCCGACAGGCTTGTAACTTTTACCTCCTACTCCTAATTAGCATGGCGCTGAACGGCCCAAGTGTCGGTGTTGTATTGACCGGTTGCCCCCACGCTTCTTTCGTCGTTCTTTCCGGACATTTAGGAGCGTTACATCGAGCGGGAGCTTGAGCTCCTCGAGCTGTGCTCCGTGCACCCCAATGTCGTGGGGCTACACGGCGTGATCCGGACTTCGCAGCGGTGAGAGAACATCGCTACCTGCCTTTGTGCTGCTGCTGCTGCGACTATTCTCCATTTATTGTTGTCGTTGTTGTTGATGTGTTGTTGTATTGTTGCTGCTGCCATCTTGGGTACTGACGTGGGAAAAGCGCTCTTACCGTGACATTGTATCCCTCCAATTGGCTTCTCATTGGCGAAAGTGTCAGCAAGCCCAAAGCATTCATGGCCGAATGCTTTGCCTAGAAGGATAGTGTACGCGTCTTCATCGCTCACGAGTAGCAAGCCATGGCCGACATAACTTACAAAAATTGGTTCGAGCATGCGTATGCAATACTGTAGGTACGGCCAAACAAGAGCACGCCTATTGCTGAGAAAGCGTATGTTGCCGAGAATTTCCATTCTACTGCTGCTGCTGGTAGCGGTGGTGGTGGTGGTGCTTGTCTCACTCCGCCATGTGTTTGCGCTGTGTACAGGGTGTACGCGCTGATGCCTCTGGCGGACACGGACCTCGCCGCCATGGTGAAGGTGAGCCAGACAGCCAGACAGCCAGACAGCCAGACAAGGATTGAGAGAGAGAGAGAGAGAGAGAGAGAGAGAGAGAGAGAGAGAGATAAATAGCGAGAAAGGAGAGGAGAGGAGAGGGCCAAGGGTGAGGCAAGCCCCGAGGTTGGACAAGAATGAAGAGGGGCGTGTGTGATGGGATCAGTCGAAGGTAGCCCGAGGAGGGGCGATGCAGTTGGCGGCCGTGTAGAAAGACCAGGAGCGTTTCTTTCTCTTACCTCCCACCTTCCTCTTTCCCCCGTTGTGGTTGTCAATTCTTCTCTTGCTTTGCTGTTTTTGGAAGGCGTTGGGTGATGATGCCCCCTAGCCCTCGAACCCAACGAATGCCTAGGCCCACACGTTCTTCCTCCCGTCGCACGTATTCCCGCCTTTGGTGCTGACTGACTGACTTTTCACCCCCGCGGCACCGTGTCTACCCCCCCCGT